ATCTCTTGCTTTGGCCCAGACTCGCTACAGTGAGCTGTAGTTGTTATGGTGCTAAATAAATAGAGTGGCTCATTTTCAGTCTGCTTTTTTCAGATTGGTGGATCTCAATTAAACCTTACTCTAAGGAGAGGATTACTTGATATGTTAAATTTTTTCAACAAGACTTTATGATGTTTAAGATAACAAATTATATTAAAAAAAAATAAAGTAAAATCAGTTTCACAAAGATTTTTTTGAAGTGAAAACACATAATGGTGCTTCATAAAGATTAATACTTTTGTTAAAACTATAAATTATCTGTCAAGTTAAGAACAGTACAAGTGGGAGTCTAAACCAGACAAGATAAAAAAAGAAACCAAGAGCGCACTAAATGGCAGGTATTTTGGAGGTGTAATCTAAAATATTTTTACAATGGAGTAATCATTGTTTTAATGAGTATTCATCAAATGTACTATTGATAAAATCCATGAATTTCAAATACTCTAATTATGCTAATAAGAAAGGGTTGATAACATCAGCTTAAAAATATTGTGAAATCATTTTACGCATGTATTATATGCATATAAAACATGTAAAAGAGTTATTATATTTCAAGCCGTAGAAGGGTATACACTTCTTCTCATATCTAGTGATTTAATGTATTATTTCTATTTAATGTATACTTATTTATAAACTTTTTAATGTTGAAAGGTCTGCTATTTTTCCGTTTGAACTATACAGTTTTAATGTATTATATTATGAGTTTTATTGGGTGTATTGTATCGCCATCTAGGTAGTACAAATGCACCCTGGGAATGAACGAGAGCTGGTTAGGTGTATGGTTAGTTCTCACTAGATTAGATTTGTAATACTTTTGTTATCACACCATATAACCTTTTGTATAATAGAGTGTTCCAGAGCAGAAATTACATCCACATCCCCTATCTGCAGAGCATTCCAGAATCTCATTTTAGCCGTTCATCTAGTTAGAAAGACAGCAGCAGAAGAGGAAGCAGGAGGAGCCTGAGACCTTTCTTGGTTTTTGAGATGCTTACTCCACTGTAGCTCATGCTTTGCATGTAGATGCCTGGTCATGCAGGTTGTGCTCTGGTTTAGAATGTTTATGCTTCGCTTTAGGCTCTGATTGCACAGCGTGCAAACCAGTCGTGTCTTGTCGTCAGCACATTGTCTGAAGAACTACGACGCCAGGGATCTCCTTGAAGCTGGCTTTGGTGTGCTCGGTCCCTGGGTGCGGTGGGCAGTAGCAGGTGTACTGTCCAGGGGATGGCCGCTCCGCCTTTGCACCCTGCTCCCTTTTATGCTGCGCTGGTGCCTCTGTGCGACCACCGCCTCTTCCTCCAAACTGCACATGTTACTCGTATGACCTTGATTCCATGTGGGGTCTAGGACCTCATCATCCTCCACATCATCTTCCACCCACTCCTCAACCCTGACCTCCTTGCCGGTCTGCACACTGCAGAAAGCCACAGAAGTTAGTACCTCATCATCAGAGATGTGCTGCGGTGGTCCTCGCATGTCCACATCCTGAAAACATAAGTGGACTGCATCAGTGCACTCAATCTCTTCCACTTCTGGGGCAGGGCTAGGTGGATGGCCCATGGAAACCCCGCAAGCAGAGTCATCAAAAAGCATAAAAGACTGCTGTATGACTTGTGACTCAGACTGCTTAGCTGATTCGCAAGTGGGTGAGGTGAAAGACAGATGGCCATGGGCTGCAGGTGCCAACTCTGAGCTTTCAGCAGGGGACTGGGTGGGAGACAATGTGAAGGAACTGGAGGCACTGTCAGCCATCCAATCTACTGTCGCCTGTACTTGTTCTGGCCTCACCATTCGTAGAGCGGCATTCGGGCCTACTAAATAACGCTGAAGGTTCTGTCGCCTACTCGCACCTGAGGAAGGTGTTTCACTTGTGCGTGTAGCTGGCACAGATCGACCACGTCCTCTCCCTGCAACAAGAGCTCCACCAACACCAGCAGCACCATGACCAGAGCCACGTCTCTTAATAGACGCTCTCCTCATTCCTTGCGTTCACCCAGCAAACTAACAGATGGTTTATGTCACTGACAGTAAGGCAGTGCCGGTGTCCTAAAGAAAAAAAAATTCTAGAGGTCACACAACAGTGTGACAGGCGTAACTAATACAGTTACTTCACTGTCTCAAAATATGTGAATTTGTCAAACAACAATGTAACAGTAGTATTTAACGGTTTTATTGGACTGCAAGAAATGCACCGCAGGCCGCAAATGTACTATTTAGCACCAAAAAAATGAGAATTTATCAAAGTGCGATGTAACCACAGTATTTAATGGTTCTATTTGACTCTCAGATATGAAGTGCACGCCCAAATTAACTTTTTAGCACCAAACAAATGTGAATTGGTCAAACTGCGATGTAACCACAGTATTGGCGGTTCTGTTTGCCTCTCAGATATGAAGAGCACGCCCCAAATTCACTTTTTAGCACCAAAAAAATGTGAATTGGTCAAACTGCGATGTAACCACAATATTTGATGGTTCTATTTGACTCTCACATATGAAGTACACGCCCCAAATTTACCTTTTAGCACCAAAGAAATGTGAATTTTTCAAAGTGCGATGTAACCACAGTATTTGACGATTCTATTTGACTCTCAGATATGAAGTGCACACCCCCAAAAAACTTTTCAGCACACAAAAAATGCGAATTGGTCAAACTGCGTTGTAACCACAGTATTTGACGGTTTTATTTGACTCTCAGATATGAAGCGCACACCCCAAATTTACATTTAGCACCAAAAAAATGTGAATTGGTCAAACTGCGATGTAACCACAGTATTTGACAGTTCTGTTTCACTCTCAGATATGAAGTGCATGCCCCAAATTTACTTTTTAGCACCAAAAAAATTAGAATTTGTCAAACTGCAATGTCACAGCAGTATTTGATGGTTCTATTTGACTCTCAGATATGGAGTGCACACCCCAAATTTACTTTTTAGCACCAAAAAAATGTGAATTTGTCAAACTGGAATGTCACAGTAGTATTTAAAAATGCCTAGATGTTGCCCACTGAGCTACCAGAACAGAATTAAAGTAATGTGCCTGGCACTGGGCTCAGGGCAGGGTACAAAAATGTAGTATAGCACCAACAAAAAAAATCACTGTAGTTTGCAGATTCAACACCAGAATTCTTTCCTAATCTGTCCCTCACAGCTGCAGCATCCTCTCCCTACACTAATAAGAGCTCATGTGACGTGAGGCTGGGTCACATGCTGCACTGGCCAATCACAGCCATGCCATTAGTAGGTATGGCTGTGATGGCTTCTAAGGGCATACGAGTCAAACGCTTGTTGATTGGCTGCCCTGCAGCTTTTCAAAACACACCATGAAATCAACGAACACCAAACTCGAACCTGACCTGTTACTGAAATGTCTGGGTTCGGGGTCAAAAAATCGTAATGTTCGGTACGAACCCGAACTTTCAGGTTCGCTCAACTCTAATAATGACCCCTTTATCTGGACAGCCATTGAAAAACAACAAATTTAATTTCTAATGGTTAAAGTTGTGTATACATGATTGGTGGCATGAAGGTGTCTAATCCTTTTCCCATCCTCACCAATTATTATTTTGGTACATACCTGGTAAGAAGTGCCTCAGTCCTTCCAAGATGCTTTTTGTCCTATTCCTTTGTTGTTCTGGGTATCCTTACCTTTACATCAACTGCTTTGTGTATCTACATTATTCCTGCCCATGGACCTTTTTCAGTGTGAAGTTCCTGGTCGATTTTTATACTCTCTTAGTAATGTTTGTTTTGTGCCTTTTGACCTTTACAGCGCAGAGTAGTGGTATGGCATCAGGAGTTGCTTGGATCAAGGAAAACTATTCTAAGAAAACTATTTACAATGAATTTCTTATCTGAGGTCCATGGGGGGCTGCTCCTCACCTCCAGTACAACTACAGGAGAGCTGGAAGTACTTTGTCAGAGCTAAACCCAGTTATTAAGCACCAAAACTACTGATATTGTCGAAATAATTATTTTTGGGGGTTTGTTTAGCTATATTTGTTGTGTCTACGATAATTACAGTGATCAAGGTGGCTGTGATATATATAACTGTGTATTGACCACGCTTGTATAATAGAGTTTTTTTGTGCTTTCTAGCATAGTGATTAAATAAAATCTCAGAATAAGGACTTATGTGGTAATTTGTATCTATACTAACCAGTTTAGCCTGCGGTATCATATGTTTGTATATATGTATCTTAGGGGTACTCTGAGTGGGCTACCTGGATACCAGCACATATTTTGAATAGCAGAGTGCCTGTACACATCTCTGATTTCTGTATAGAGTTTTTGGCCCCTCGTATAGTGCACCACTATTCGTACATGAAAGTAATTCACATGATTTATTATCCATTGTCTTGAAGAGACAGGAATACCTTGATTATTTATATCCATTCCTATGGCCACTTTTGCATATTCAGAGGGGGGCATTAGCCTGATCATTGCAGCATTAACTACAGAAATTGACTACAGAAAGTGAGAGAAATATAGCAACTAAAGTAGAGAGGGAACTTAAGAGAAAAATAAGTTGGAAACTTCATGTTAATACCTTGGGGAAATATTTAAGACAGAAACGTATTCAAGGGGACTTAGGGTAAGACTACACCCAAACATTGGTAAGGACAATCCAGAACACTGTGAGACCTGGTATAGAATACTAAACAAGTGTTCGGTGGATCTGATGGTCTTGACCATTGACACATTACAAAAGGAACTAGTAACTCTCATTAAAGAAATAGCAACCTTGGAGAGAGAGTTAGAACTTTCAACCACCCAAACAGAATTGGAAAAACTTAAAAAAGGACATAGAGGATAAATTAGTTCAGTACCAGAAAGACACAGAGGAATATAAAAAGAGAAAATTCCAACAGGACACTAACGACTACCAAAGGGAACAAGTCTATACATGGTACCGATGTAATTATAGGCAGCCACAGACTAATAGGGATAGAGCTAACACAAGATGGCGACAGGACTCAGATACACTATCTACATCCTCCTCAGCATCTTCCTCCTATGGAACAGCTTTTTTAGGGAAATCACAAACCACAGAGACCAATCAGGAGGGGGGTCACCACAAGAGCATCACAAGACAGAAGGCAAAGGAAACCTCCAAAATATAGACGGAGAAATTGATTTACAATATCTCAGGTAGGCCGTTGACACCACAGGAAGAAAATGTATTAAATAAAAGTTTGTCACGTTTGTCCCCACCCTGGCCCCACAATGGTATGAATATCATGTTGCCCTATATAAGTTTTTGAGACAACTTAAATTAAAAGCACATTTTTTTACTACAGACACAGAAGGAGTTACCACACATCCTACATCAAATATAAAGAACAACAACGGCATACAGAATATCCAGAGCCAGACACGGAAGAATGGGAACATCAATTCACAACGTTACAGTCCACACTAACATCCACTGATCTATCACTTCCATTGGACACAGGTTTGAAACCCAGTAGCACTTACACCCCTTACATTTATAATCAGTCCATAGATATATTTTCCAATCTACTGAAGATAGATATTAAAAGATTAAGAAAGAGAAGACAGAGGGGAGACAGAGGGGAGACAGATTCACTCAACAGAAGCCTAACTTTACCAGAAAGGAATGGCAGGTACTGAATACACTCCAACAGGACAAGTCAATAATTATTAAGCCCACTGACAAGAGAGGGGCATTGGTGATTATGGACAGAGAATATTATATTAAGGAGATAAGGTCACAATTGAATGATGCTACTAGTTACCAACGGATAGAAGGGAACCCCATTCAGCGACTGCAGGTGTTCTTGCAGGTACTGAATGGGGAAGCCCTAGTATCAGAGGTAGAATATAGGTACACGAATAGGAAATATCCTACCACTCCTGTTTTCTATACTCTCCCCAAGATCCACAAAAACCCAGATGCCCCACCAGGGAGACCCATAGTCAGTGGGACTAACTCAGTCCTGCAACCTCCAGCGGTCATACTCGACAAATTCCTCATTAAGTATGTGCCGGGACAGAAATCCTACATTAAGGACGCCAATGAGTTCCTTATGCTAATTGACAGTATAAGGGTTGGAGAACTTATGGAGGTCTGGTTGGTGACATTAGATGTCCAGTCACGTTACACGTCGATAGGACATACAAAGGGAATCAGAGCAGTAAAGTGGACATTGGACCAAGACCATACACTGATACCATTCCCAGACACTAAGGAGTACATTCTGGGGTTACTACAATTTGTTCTGACAGAGAATTATTTCCTATTCGAGGATCAGTATTACAGACAAATCAAAGGGACTGCCACAGGCTCGAATGTGGCACCTACCTATGCAAACATTTATATGAAAAGATTGGAGGAACTATATATATATATATACTACTCCACTGTTCAGCAAGTGTCACGTATGGAAGAGATTTATCGATGATGTTTTTGTTTGTTGGGGCGGCATGAGGACACAGTTGGACAAGTTTTTTACTCAACTGAATACCCTGGATCCCAATATTAAGTTTACTATGACTTGTGACAAAGAGATAATTCCATTCCTAGATACTCAGGTGCATCTAGAGGGTGGTAGGTTACACACCAATATCTATACTAAACCTACAGATAGGAATAATCTTCTAGACTACACCAGCTACCATCCTCAACACTTGAAGGATGGTTTACCATATAGCCAACTTTTGCGGGTTAGGAGGATTGTCTCACAAACAAGTTCAGTGGAACCAGGGTTGGATCTCATGTGTGAGAAATTTGTAAATAGGGGTTATCCACCGGACCTAGTGAATAAACACAAAGCCCGGGTACTACAATTGGATAGGAATAAAGCGCTCAACCCTGTTAGGATAAGAAGTGACATTGGGAGAATCCCTTTTATATCCCCGTACACCCCTTACAGTAGGGATACTAAGCATATTATATTAAAACATTGGGGCATTTTCGAGGGAGACACTAACTTACCGATTGAATTTCAAAACCCACCCCTATTCTCTTACCGGAGGGCCCAGAATTTAAAAGATAAATTGGTGCACTCAGACATTGGCAGCAGTAAGGAACAAAAAAGGTTTTTCTCTGAGCCCAAGAAGGGCACTTTTCTGTGCCTCAATTGTATTCACTGCAATAGCATAATCAGAGGTGAACACTTTGCCCACCCGCTATCGGGTAAACAATTTAAAATATTTGACTACTTTACATGCAACTCCGACTATGTGGTCTGCATATTGAAATGTCCTTGTGGGTTCTCTACGTTGGAGAGACTATTAGACCAGTTAAGGAGCGCATTGGAGAGCACAAGAGGGATATTAGGGCAGCAATACAGAAAGGTACTTGTGAAAAACCGGTACCTAGACATTTTGTACAATATGGTCACAGTGTTAGCCAATTACACTTTTAGGTCATTGACAGTGTCAAGCCATTGTGGAGAGGTGGCGATAGGCAAAGGGCACTGCTGAGTAAAGAAACGAGGTGGATCAGCACCTTGGAAACATTACACCCGCAAGGCCTTAATGACAATTATGACCTGAAGCATTTTTTTGTAAGACACGGACTTAGTTACCTGAATAATTTCAATAGGTGTCTTTTAGATGTACATAGTTGTGTTATATATGTTGGTGCCCTCGAACTAACACTAGTTTTTATACTTACATAATTAGATTCTGACCAGGACTCTTGGCTCTCCAGCACTCGTAATGGTTCTAAGTACATTGACCAATTGTGGTCCGCAACCCGACCTATAATGAGGTCCATACGGAGAGAGACTGCGGATACTTTCACACGTTACACTGCTGGTGTGTATGCATCATTAACATAGTTACGGAGATGGTGGCGAAGTGTGCATTTCTGAGCACATAAGATAAGTATACAGAGTATTGTCCTATATCCCGTAAGGAGTAATGTAACTCTTCCTCTCCATAATTTCCTTGAATACTAGTCGGTCAGGAGCTCCCTGTATACACACTGGTAACAACACCCACATATATTCTGATAATAATCCCTGTTATTATGATAGTGACTGCCCCCCCGTTTTTCTTCCTTTGTTTGGGACCATTTGTGTATTTTTGTATTTTTGTATACATATATACAGTGCCTTGAGTTTTCTCTTTTATTTTTCCCACACAGGGGTCACCAATTTATAGTACATCTTTTTATTTAGGAATATCTCAATAGATGGTGCCTACAAACAGTATTCCAAAAAACATTTGTTGATAACAAAATGTGGTTGCAATTTGAACAATATGTTTGCCCTGGTATAATATACTTTTCATTATTGGTCAAGAAATTCTCCCATTAAGCTAATATACCTTTACATTTAACTCAGTATGGGAAATTGAGTTTTAGTAATATCCCCTCTGAATGTATCAAACGCAACTTGTGATACACTATTACTTTTGTTTTTGTTTTTATGTAAAGTATCCTTTTTAAATTCTATGTCACAATGCAAGTGCTCAATAATACATGCCACAACGTTGGGTGATTTGAGGGACCTTGACATGTTCAATAAAGTTTATTTACAGACAAACCATGCTAGCACAGAAGTGACTGGTTGGTGAGGCACGCATGTACATAGGTGACGTCCCTCACATTACATGACATCATAGGGGTGCGTCCCGTGGGAGGAGGCAGGCGCACAAAATAGGAAATAAAAATGAGCCTCATCTATCTCCCAATAGGGCCATCAGAGGGACTATCGGGTCCCGAGCGTGCAGCCTGAGCACCCCACCCACCAGCAAAAAGACCCCACACCTAGGTTGAAAACTTCACAGCTACTTCCTACAGGAGAACAAATGGTTCCAAGTGTACAGCCTGCAGGGAACAGAGAGGAGTCTTTCCCTTGACTAGTGCCTGGATACACTTCAGATTCATAACACTTCAACCTTTACAGGACTAACACTGACCAGCATATTGGTGAGAACTTCAATAGGACATTGAGTAATATTTTTGGTGTGTACACACTAGGACTGTATATACATTTTTTGCTTGCCATTATATATTTTTTTTTGCTTTTTTTGTATTTTTTCCTTTTTAATTATTTTTTGACTGAAAGTTTATATCATTGGTCTCCTGGTTAGGAAGCAATTTGATCCTGATTCTACAGTGGGATATCAGCCATATGGTGCGATTAAGCACCAAAACTACTGATATTGTTGAAATAATTATTTTTGGGGGTTTGTTTAGCTGTATTTAGTGTGTCTAGGATAATTGCAGTGGTCAAGGTGGCTGTGATATACATAACTGTTTGTATTGACCACGCTTGTATAATAGAGTTCTTTTGTGCTTTCTAGCATAGTAATTAAAATCGATCTCAGAATAAGGACTTATGTGGTAATTTGTATCTATACTAACCAGTTTAGAGTGCGGTATCATATGTTTGTATAAACCCAGTTATCAGCAGATGCTCTCAACCAATGAGCTAGCTCTGCACTGCAGAGTTTAGCTTAGCTCAGGAGAGATAAAAGAAACTCCTAGGCAGGTGCTTCTGGTTCTCCTGTGGATGTAGTGAAGGAGGTAAACTGCGTCCTGCATGACTTAGGAGAAAAGTCAATTGTCTTACACTGTTTGACTACTATTAATGGAGGGTGCCTGGGCAGTTTTTGCACCATAACCACTACATTATTCTCTAGATTTTATGATGCTTGCAGCATTTCTTTATATAGTTATATGAAAGGATGTAGCAGAGAGGTAAGAAACCAGTTTACTCAGCATTTACAAAGAATATAAACACAGAAGTTTAATCCTTTGTTAGTTTCCCCACTTTATAAAAAGATTATAGCTCACTAGTTCCATTATAGACATAATACAGCAACACCAGGTAATTGTTTTGGCCTTCTGTTTAAATTACTGGAACTATGCAAACATTGTACTGCTTATATATATCTTTGTCCAGATTTATTTTCATCTATCTATCTATCTATCTATCTATCTATCTGTCTGTCTGTCTGTCTATATATCTGTCTGTCTGTCATTATAACACTGCTCTGCATGGAGATGGTAACATTAAATTGCAATATCATTATTTAACAAATGGTTTAACATAGTTACAAACTGTTTGACCCTCGCTTTGCTTCATCGGGCTCCTATGCTGTCTATCATTTGATGTCTCCCATCCAATTAATAATGCTCAAACCTGGTATTTCAGACCATGGGATTCCATGGC